TTGGACTTATTGCACATTCATTTAACAGCGCTGCACTGCCTTTTATGAGGATTGTTTCGTAATGCACCATGTATCTCAGATACCTATCGTTTTTAGTGGAACATTTTCAAAGAGATACAAACACAGAAAACATGAAGGGATGCTGTGCAACAGAGTTCAGGCTATATTCATAAGAAAGATAAATATGTTTGTAATGGAGAACAGTGAACATAGGATGTCATTTATAAAATACATAAAATATTTATGTAGTAATTAATAATCGAGAAATTTCTTGGATTTTCGGGAGGCTATCAATTCTATAAATCAGACTATTACAGAGTTTTAATGGGTTTGTGTTATGAAATATTCATGCTACTTTATGAGGAAAGAACAAAGAGAGGGCGCACAGGCCTAGTGCATTACCATAAAAAATGTTTAATAAGAAATAAAATAGGTGTTGTACTCAAAAAACGACAATAAAGTCAAGGCACATCATAAAAGAATAGCTGGATCAACACCGCGCTGAGTAACAGTCCGTAATGGGGAATGTAGACATCCAATAGGCTGACGCGTTTCGAGGACTTGCCTCTTCCTCAGAGTCCTCGAAACGCATCAGCCTATTGGATGTCTACATTCCCCATTACGGACTGTTACTCAGCGCGGTGTTGACCTAGCTGTTCTTTTATGATGTGCCTTGACTTTATTGTCGTTTGTGAGTACAACATCTATTTTATTTCTTATTAAACATTTTTTATGGTAATGCACTAGGCCTGTGCGCCCTCTCTTTGTTCTTTCCTCATAAAGTAGCATGAATATTTCATAACACAAACCCATTAAACTCTGCAATACTCTGATTTATAGAATTGATATAATTGGATTCCCCCGGTCTGTTGAGGGCAGCAAGGTGTGCATGTTCCAGGACATTCTTAATGTGGTTGCAGCGTGCATCGAGTCCATCCCCAAGCGCAGGAGCATTTGTGTTTGCTGATTCATGCTACTTTGGCTGATACCTTCATAACCCATGTCCAAGTTTATGTATGCCGCCTTACAGTACCTGAAATGCCCAGTAGCAAGCAACATTTTCATTCATTGCTCTACTACCATTCATTATGAAAACAGAATAATAAATGTACAGTTCATGTACTATGTTTCATATCAGATAGTATGAGAATATCTCAGCACCTTTCCCAAGGGTAGGTTTTATTATAGGGGACAAAACACACAAAACATCTGAGAGTGCAAGACAACAGTATCTAAAACATATAACGGCATTAGAAACGTATAAGACAGTCACAAAGAATGAGAAGTACAATGTGCAAAACATGGAGATTGTTGAAATGTTTTTTAGGGCAGAACATCTGCAGCAACTTATTGGGCAGAAAAAAGAGATTGTTTTAAACTTTTATATTTTTTAATTTTATTTTATACTTAAGTCTTTTAATTGGTACATTAGAGCATTTGGCTCGTTTTTTTATTGTAGAATGACGAATGCACAAAAAAAAAATTGTTCTGTAAATTCTGTAATTGTATCTAGCAATTGCAGTAGTAAGCAAGGGCACTCTGCTATCTTTAGACTACAGTGGCATCTGTACTGCCATCTGCAGACAAAAGCTGTATTTTGTCAAGGAATCCTGTAGGCTGCATGTGATAACTATGCCATAGCTAACCTAGAGATCATGTAATCGGGAACTACTCTAATTAGTTCCTGATCATTAATGTGAAGATGCTTGGACGTCCTCTAAATGCATCTCTAATGGAAACGCCAACTCCTACTTTTTTGTACTCCAGTAAGCTGCAGACTGGGTCCTTCCCTGCAGCTTACAGAAGCTGCAGGGAGGGCACTGACCTTGCTCACAGCTCACTGAAGTACAAAAACGTGGCAGTTTGGAGTGTGGGATATAGATCAGTTTGGAGGACGCCCAAGCACATCTCTACTGAAAATTATGAACTCCCCTCTGTCCAATGTGTTCTGGATCACTGACTGGCTAGACTATTGAGACCCGAATCAGGATCACAGTTCTGGAGCCTACAGCTCAAAAGTCAGCAACTTCAGCTTTCATATTTCTAAATTCACTTTTTTTTTACATCTGCATTTAGAAGCAAAGTAAAAGTTCTCCCACTGCAGTATAGGCAGTGCTGCTAGCAGTACATGGGGGTGTACTAATTATACCTATGTATACTCTGCCAATGTCGAGTACTGTATCTGTTCAGGCACTACTACATTTGATTAACATGGAGTACCTGTTCGTGTTAAAACTGCTCACATATCTTTCCAGACCCCAACTATAATTGAGCAAACTGTGTCAGCAGCTTAGCATATCGATACAGTAAACCTGTGGGCAGGCTATGGATGCTCAACAACTTAAATATTACTATAATATTACCAAGTAGAAAACGAGCTTAAAAACAAGATCTCACAGGCCTTTGTAGCTGCAGGCATTGTGGAACAATTCATGCATACTTTTTCCAGCAGAAGCACTGAAATTGTCATTCATAGCAGCTCAGCTCAAAGTACTCCCACCTCCCAGAACACCTGATCTTAACCATAATCAGATATAAAGTAGCAAAACCCAGGTTCTCCACAAAGATGGCTGCCTACACCCCCAGTGACACCATGCAGAACAAGGCATATTAAGTCAGCAATGGGGAGCATACCAGCTGCAAAGAGACCGTGGACTATACCGTAGACTAAGCCTTTGTCCTTTGCTTGCCTTTATGGGGCACATCTTCCAGTTAAGATCCAGTTTAAAAGGTGTCAGCTGCTGTATTTTTACAAAAAAATACCCTTCATAATATGTGTGCAAGGAGTATAAATCTCCAAAGCAACTTCAAACTGTTTCCATTGTGTAAAGTATATAGTTTGTCATAAAATGTTATATCCAGACTGTATCTTTTTATGTTACTCAGTGTAGAGACAATAACTGATGAATTGCTATGTAATGACTATTGAATGTTTGCTTCTGCCAGAAGCTCAAGCAGCATATGTGCCTAAAATTCTGTATTCCCTGTGAGACATTCCTTTCCATAAAGTTAAATTTAGGATCTGATTCATCAGGGTACCTGAAATAACTTCCTACTTGATGACTATATCAGTGGAATATATCCATGTAACACTGTAATACCAGCAGAGTGTTATTAGAATGACAAAGTGTTTATATATTTTATCATTGTCCTCTTTTATTAGCTCGCTACACTCTTTGTTTCAGGAGTAAATGTAGATGGTGGTGCTTCTATTTTGGGTACATTGACAGTTCCATAATGTGCCCTTCTTTTGCAGTACATTGTTTAAAGTTTATATAAACGCCAACAATTAACTTCTCTCATTTTCTCCCTTTTGGTCCATTAGATATGCCATTAAAAACAATTATTCTTGCTGTTCAATAAGTGCAAAAAAATACTTCTGGATCCACAAATCCAATGCTGTCGTGCACTTTGCAGTGTTAAATCAGGCTGTGTTATCAGCCCAGTTCGGTTTACCTATATATGAACTACAGAACATCTCCCCCTTTGTTATGTTGATGACGAGAGGGGAAGGTGTTCTTTAGTCTTAAAGCAGTTCCTATCCTAAGGTGACAACTCTTGATAGCAACTCATAGATACAGCATATTGAGTGATCGCTGTCACTTTAGGACACAAAGTATAGGCAGGATACTTGGTGAAAATAAAGGTAGTGTTGTTGCTTTTTGTCTTACCCATACTGTTTGATGTATCCATAGCCCTGCAAGCATGGTGGTTTAGCAATGTGTCCTAGATGGAATGTCTGTGTTCTTCCTGTGGTTGTGTGTTCCTCTCTGAGCTCTGGCTTCCTCCAATGATTAAAACAATGCTGGTTGGTTAAGTGGCATAAAAAAACAGAAATTTCTCTTGTATAGGTTTGACTGATAGGACATTCATGTTCGCATATGCACATGTCCTCTGTCAAGGTCCTCATTTAGATTTTGTTGGTGCTATACAAATGTAGTCCTTATCCCTTATTCCAGCTTTTCAGTGGTTAGATGTGCTGGCTGTATTGGGTTTTTTTTTTTTTCATTTTATTTATTTTACCTGGTAATCCTGCCAGTAACATACTTTCTGATCTAGGGGCACTAACTGTACAGTATTTGTGGGGGAGCAACATTGCCACCCTAGGCTGCTTTCCCTGATTTGGACTGCAAACACTCCATTACGTAGGAGGGGTTGTGTAGTTCAATGATTCTCAACTTCCGGGCCATGGCCCAGCTCTGGGAGGCAGCTTCTTTCCTGCTAGGCCGTTAAATATGCAGTTTGGCTGCTCTGATGCCATGCGCCAGCTATTATACATCTGGACATTGCTGTTCTTCCTACAGTTATCTAGCCTAGACCTACAAGCTGTGGTCAACTGTTGGTAGTAGCCGCATCATTTGGTTCTGCCCTCAGCCCGTTACCTCCAACGGCAGGTGCAGGAGTTTTGCCTTAAGTATCTAACACTTCAGGTAAGAAATTGAAGAAGAGGACTACAGTCTGCAAAGTTTGCAGGGGTGAGCAGTGTTAGAAGAGATTTGCAGGGTGAATGGTTTTGGATGGAGGTGACAGGGATGTGCTATGTTGAAAGAGGAAGCAGCGGTGAGCTGTGTTGGAACAGGGTAGCAAAGGGTGCAGAAGTGAGCAATGTTGAGCAGAGGGGTGCAGGGGTGTGTAGTACTGCAAAAAGGGTTCAGGGCTGGGGGGTGCACGTTTGCTGTGTCTTGAAAGCTGGGTGTCATAGCTCAGAAGGTCTGCACTAGGAACAAAATACTGCACTCTCACAATGTGAGGACATCCCTTATTCTATATTATACTGTCAGAGATTATGATGTATTGGAGACGGTGGGCTCAGGAACAACATTTTCCAGGTGTCATGTACTACACCATACATTAACTTACCTCGCATTGCAAGCAAATGGATATAAGAAATAATTGTATGTATCAAGTACCGTATTTTTCGCTCCATAAGATGCACCTGACCATAAGATGCACCTAGGTTTTAGAGGAGAAAAACAAGAAAAAGATATTCTGAACCAATGGACTGCAGACACAGTACAGGAGATGACCAGAGACTGCGAACACAGTATAGGAGATGACCAGAGACTGCGGACATAGTACAGGAGATGACCAGAGACTGCGGACATAGTAGAGGAGATGACCAGAGACTGCGGACATAGTAAAGGAGATGACCAGAGACTGCAGACATAGTAAAGGAGATGACCAGAGACTGTGGACATAGTACAGGAGATGACCAGAGACTGCGGACATAGTACAGGAGATGACCAGAGACTGTGGACACAGGACAGGGATGACCAACAGACTGCAGACAGTACAGGGATGACCAACAGACTGCGGACACAGTACAGGGATGACCAACAGACTGCGGACAGTACAGGGGATGACCAACAGACTGCGGACAGTACAGGGGATGACCAAGAGACTGCAGACAGTACAGAAGATGACCAAGAGACTGCAGACAGTACAGAAGATGACCAAGAGACTCCAGACAGTACAGAAGATGACCAAGAGACTGCAGACAGTACAGGGGATGACCAAGAGACTGCAGACAGTACAGGGGATGACAAAGAGACTGCAGACAATACAGGGGATGACCAAGAGACTGCAGACAATACAGGGGATGACCAAGAGACTGCAGACAATACAGGGGATGACCAAGAGACTGCAGACATTACAGGGGATGACCAAGAGACTGCAGACAGTACAGGAGATGACCAAGAGACTGCAGACAGTACAGGGGATGACCAAGAGACTGCAGACAGTACAGGAGATGGCCAAGAGACTGCGGACCTTTGGGGAGGGAGGGGGAGCGGGTACCTAAATTTGACAGGTACCCACTTCCGCGGAGTTGTCCTCCCTTTGGTGCGGGCACCCGACTGTGCCGGGTGCCCACTGCGCATGCGTGAGAAGCGCTGCGCTTTGTGAATGGCCCGGCATCTTCTGGGACCTGCCATGTGTCCCAGAAGATGCCGGACCATTCACAAAGCGCAGCGGGTACCCGGCTGTCACAGCCAGGTGCCCACACTAAAGATGTCGGCGCGGGAAAACTGCACAGTGCTGGACCGAGGAAAAGGTAAGGTCCCTGCTGCAGAGAAGAGCTGAGCGGCCGGCCCGGTATTCTGACACAGTGGCGGTGGCAGAAATACCGGACCGACCGCTCCATAAGACAGACTGACATTTTCCCCCCTTTATTGGGGGGAAAAAAGTGCATCTTATGGAGTGAAAAATACGGTAATTAGTGACTCCTTTAAAAATAATATCCTGCATTTTCATTGGGACAAAGGTATTCTTTAATATAGGCCTGCCCTAGCCAGTTTTTGCCGTTGTCATTTTCAGAGTAGAAAACAGATGTGCACAGAGAGCTGTAAATCACGATCTAATTATTCCCTGACACTATGAATGAGAAGCAGTCCCAGTGTGTGACAGCCGCTAATGGAGAGGAGCTGCAGTGATGTCACTACCACTCTTTAAAATGGAAAGAGCTGCTACACATATTTACTGAGAATGGCCTGAGTCAGTCTCATTGTGTGAAGTTGCCCCTGAATCAGTTCTTCACTGACAGGACAGTAGACTGCTTAGTATCTAAAGCAGAAAATCTTGAAGGTGAGAGACGATTGTCCCAAATAATGGCTTGTAATCGTATCGCTCTGTTGGTATTTAAAACCGTTGTAGTTTCAGTAAAACATTTTTCTGTGGAAACAAACAGAATTTTCCATTACCAAATATTTCACATGACACTCCAGGCAAGATCAGGCGCCATACTGCACAATCACATTTCAGATGCCGGCCTGGCTCACCTCCACCCAAGAAATCACCTGTATCAGCAATGGGAACACCACACATTGATATGAAAAATAATCTTCCTTTATTAAAATATTCAGCAGGCACACGTTCTATTCTGACATGTTTCACGCTAGGCACAAAGCTTTTTAAAAAAGGAAAATTATTTTGTATCTCAGTGTGCAACATTTCCATTGCTGATACAAGTAAATTTCCAATTAGACATATGAAGGTGCTATGCCCGGGGCCCAGAAAAAGGAAATACAATTACAAAGGGTTCCTTGTAACCTCCTACCAATTTACCATAGAGGGCTGGGCTGTGGAACTATTTTTGCCACCTTGCACTGTAATAAAACTGCCACTTTTGTCCGAAATGCATTCCTGAGCTGCCCCAAAAATGGTCACTACATCGAGCCCACCAAATCTCTAAAACTAGCAGTACAAGGACCCGTATGATCCTGCCCTATTCTCACCATCATGGATCTCTTCGAGATGCAAACCTCCCCTTGATATTACCATTGTGTCTTGGTGAAAAGTTTCATTTCCATCTTTGATTTAAAAAAACAACACGTTTAGCAAATAACTACATTGTTTAACTTGAGATGGTGTGATAAAACCAATATTATTACTCATTATACTTAAACTTTAATAAACAAATCTATAAGCTTAGTGCCAATTACTATTTTTCTCATGAACAAATCCAAAAAAAAAAAAAATTCAAGGGTAAACAAATTCACATTAAATAAAAGAGATCCTTTAAAGGACTGCTTGCAGGCAATTCAAATTCACAATGAAAGACCAGCCGTATACCAACAAACTAGCGCTCAACAAAATTTTATTGCTCCAGAGCTAATAGCAGTGTGATCTCAGATGGGGCTTCTGTGCGCATGGTTCTGGGAGTTTTATTTGAGCACTTGACGTTCAGTGAGCAGCCTGTTTTTCATTGTGTATTTACAGAAAGTACCTGTTGATCTTTCCATAATTTCAATGTACTTGTCGCTTCCTGTGAACTGAAAATAAAGAAAAGACAATGTTATTATTCTTTTGGAAAAATCTAGTCCAGAATTTCTCACCTAGAGTTTCATGGAACCCTCTGGGTTCCTCGAGAGGTTGCTAGGAGTTCCTTGAGCAATGTTCAATTTCTGCCTCTTAGATGAAATAACCACTGACAGCATTTAGCTTTCAGCTATCTGTAAGGGGTGTTTCTTCACCATGACCAGAAATCTAAGAAGCATTCTTCCCAGTGACCATTGCAATAATGTAACATTAGCTTTAGCCACAGTAATTATGAGCAGGGGTTCTCTGTAACCAGAAAGTTATTTCAAGGCTCCTCCATGTTAAAAAGGTTGAAAAAGGCTTGTCTAGTCCAGTTGATACACCATGTAATGGAGTTGAAGCCAGGTTGTTTAACAACCATGGCTGCCCCCATAACAAAATCGAGAAAAAAGCTTGGGCAGACAGAAAGTATGTTAGTTACAGCATTATAGTGAGAATAAGGCAGAAATCTGAAAAAAAGAAAGCTAATGCAGCCACTACATCAAAGGTAAGCTGCAATATATTTCTTGCTTTTGTGTTCATCTGTGCTTGAAAGGAGACATTCACCTTTGTGAACATGTTACATATTACACCTGTATTTAGGGTGTAAACATGTTCAGCATCTGCCACCTCTCCCTCCAATAAGCACCCTCACCCCCCCTGCACCTGCTGTCACAATTACAAAAAGAGTGCGTCCATGTGAGGCTCCACCCATGTGTTTGTGTCACGCAGTTCTGTGAATGAATGTACTACAAGTACCGTCATTCCTGTAGATCTCAACTACTAGGACACTGATGAGCATTCTGGTAGTTCGTGATTTTCTTGTCATTCAGTAACTGCCTGCCCATACCGAAGGTACGGGATGACCGCTACATGGGCAGTCTACAAGAGCCTGCCACTGCACCCGTGATCTGCTGATCGTAGGTACAATGCTTTACAGGCTCCCGAGGAGGAAAAAAAAAACGCATTTTTTCACCTGCAAAAAAAGTGTATTTAATATTTTTTTTACAAGGTGAACTTATCCTTTAAAGGCACATTACAACTTCTGTGACTTCATGTCATGCAGTAAAATAGTAGTTTCAGATTTAGTATGGAGTGCCACAGTGTTGGATTCTGAAAGACTCTCCAACTAGTTAATTGCTTCTTTCAGAGGCAACATTTTGATGGTCTTTGTTACAAAGTGCATTAATCACAATGAATGTTTTTGTGATCAGTCAGATAGCCATTTCATGAAGCCATTATTTATGTCCGGAAGCTTTGCTGAGAAAATATAGTGTATGCAACCTCCGATCAATATAATATAGCATCTTCCAGCGGCTCATGTTAGATGAAATGACACCCTGCAGGGTACTTGAAATCTTCTCCGTGACAGTGATGTCAATGGCAGCGTCTGTTTTTCTTTAGAAATTGAAAAATTTAACACTGTTTTAAATGAAGCTCAAGATTTGTTAACCTCTTCCAATGTCTCTACGTATTGAAAGGCTATTAGAAATCTTTTATTTCAAACTCCTACATTTCTGTTCTTGGAATGTTTTAAACACCCCTTTTTCTTTTAGAATCATACATGTTTAAAGATGAGAGCCAAATGAGACATTGAGGTTGGTGCAGAGCTTTTCGGTCCATGTAGCAAGACCAGTCACGTGTGTTTCCTTCAGTGGTGACTCATCTACCTTACACTGTTTTGGAGCAAGGGGAGGTGTCTTCATGGCACTGGCATAGATACATTCTAGAAAATAGGATTTAAATAGTACAAAGTAAAATGTAGAAAGGATAAATGTAGTGTATATTTAAATGTATGGTATATTTGATTTATTTAAATTGCAGTTGTGATTTGTTTTTTTTTTCCCTAAAACATGGAGATACATTGACAGAGTTGAATTGAAGCAGATTTTATATAGAATGCAAGCAATCATTTTTCCTCTTTATTCTGGCATTAGCCCTCTAGGAGTCTATTCCACGAGTTGATTGAATTTTAGGCATTTAAGATGCTCACAGAAAACCCAAGGCTGTAATCTAAAGGAAAACGTTCATGTATAACTGTTGGACATCATATGTCATCCTCGGGATAATGCCTGTGACTGCAGGCATCATCTTCATATCAAAACATTCAGTAGCTGATGTTCTTTCACGTAGATGTGATTTGAGTGGCTATACAGCCGCTCAATCACTTCTATAGGAGACAGAAGGTGGTGCCCCCTCCTGCCACAGTCGCTTTTTCTTGGCTCTCCTGTCCCATCAGGGGGGGGGACTGCTCTGACCAGCGGCATTGACTTCAGTACACAGAGAGAGAGGAAATGATGATGTTCCTTCCTCTCTGTGAGATCAAAAGCTGGAATAGACAAGAATTGTGTCACTTCTGGTTTTGGATCTTTGTTTACAAGCCATATTAGTGGTTTGTACAATCATCTGATCAAATCAATCTCAGTTTGATCAGATACTTTGAAGGCCAGAGGAGACATCTGGGTTCTAATAGACTCCAGATCTCTCCATAAAAGAGGACCTGACATCCTTATTGCTATCACTAGGAATCTTGTTCAACCCTTGTGATAGCAATAAAGTTGATAAAAAAAATACAGGGACAGTGTTAAATAAAAAGAGAAATTTGGTGCAGCATCTGTCCTGTGTATACCTCTACAAATGGTGTCAACAACAGTGGACAACGTGTAACAGTCAGTCAAGAGTCCTCATTCAGAATCAGTCGAAGCATGCCAAAGAAATGAGAATTCCAATTAGTTGTTATAGGTTACTGTAGAAGAATAGTCTTTACAGATGTAGTTCCGTAAATCCCTAGCTTTCACACTCAAGAACATTCAGTTTTCAGCAGATGACCGCACACTAGCTTTCCTTCGTCTATGACATTCAGGAATTCCAGCAGTATAACATGAGAAATGGCCACTGTCAGTGGAGCTGCAGGAAATTCAATTAGACCTAATGTTTATTTTATCTTAAACATCAGAGCTCTTTTATATAGGGATGACAGCTGCTGCTATGGATGAATTGTCATCGGTGTCCTGGAACAGTGAGTGTTTCAGTTGTTTGCCTTAAAAATAACACTTTCTTGGACAATGTTATTCCATTGTTTTTTTTATGTATAATATAAT